CGAGCCTGACCGACGCTATTAACCGCTGTGCCAAGCTGCCTCTCTTGGGTTTTGGAATCTGTCGGTGACAGCTCCGAACTTGTGATCATAGCCGGCCCGAGTTTTGACTTCTTTTCTGTGTGAAAAGTGGTTTTGGCTTCTGACGCTTGTTTTACCTTTGAGCTTTTGGGAAGGGCACGGTAATTATATCTGAAATAAATAAATAAAAGTGGCCTTTGGCTAAGAAGAAGAAGAAGATATTGGATTTATACCCCGCCCTTCACTTGGAGTCTCAGAGCGGCTTACAAACCCCTTTCCCTTCCCCTCCCCACAACAGACACCCTGTGAGGTGGGTGGGGCTGAGAGAACTCTGACACAAACTGCTCTTTTTCAAGGACAGCTCTTGTCAGAACCATGGCTTGCCCAAGGTCATCCAGCCAGGTGCAAGTGGAGGAGTGGGGAATCAAACCCGGTTCTCCCAGATTAGAGTCCGCGCACTTAACCACTACACCAAACCGTCGACTTGGATCCAAAGGTAGTTCCAAGTAGAACTTTATTTATTGAAGATCTTTCTATGCTTCCTCTTCAGAGTCTGGCTTGAGGGGGTTTACAGTTAAACTACAATTGCAATTAGCAGCCAAAACAGAAATGCGCCACTTCTCCTTGCCCCGCTCCCAAGAAAGTGCTGCTGGGTTAGAACATAGGAGAAGCTGATGCTGTGTCAGACCAATGGCCCACCCAGTCCAACACTCTGTGCCACACAGTGGCCAAAAACACCAGGTGCCCTCAGGAGGTCCAGCAGTGGGCCCACGACACTAGAAGCCCTCCCCCGTTGCCCCCCCCCAAGCACCCAGAAGACAGAGCATCACTTGCCCCAAACATAAGACCATAAGAGAAGCCAATGTTGGATCAGGCCAATGGCCCCTCCAGCCCAACACTCTGTGTCGCACAGTGGCCAAAACCCAGGGGCCCTCAGGAGGTCCAGCAGTGGGGCCAGGACACCAGAAGACCCTCCCACTGTTGCCCCCAAGCACCAGGAAGACAAAGCACCACTGCCCCGGACAGAGTGTTCCCCCTAGACGAGGGGTGTCGAACTCATTTGTTATGAGGGCCGGATCTGACATAAAGTGTTGGGCCGGGCCACGTGTGCCATAAAGTGTAATGCCGGGTAGCGGAGATATAAACTTTATAAAGGACAGAAACACAAAGGGTTGGTTTTTTTTATTTAAAATCATGCTTAAAACATCAGCACTCTTGCAATATTTTGTTTATTTAACAGTGTCTGGTAACTGACACCTCTTGCTCTGAATTACTGCATCAAAATGTCTGTGCTGTTGCCGTCTTGAGTATGCTGTTCAGGGGTGTATCTGTAAGCTGCAAACCTATGATGACGCAGCAGCAGCAGAAGTGGAAGAAGACGCAGAAGACAGCCAGTTCCACTGCAGACCTGATAGAAGCCCTCCGGGGGCCTGATGCGGCCCCTGGCCCGCATGTTTGACACCCCTGCTCTAGCCCTTGTGGCTAAGAGCCAGCGAGGGACCTCTGCTGGTTGTGGGTAAAGTGGGGGTCTGCAGTGGGGTCTGGTAATCGGAATCCCTCCCCCCCCCCAGCAGAAAAGAAGCTGTTATTCTGCAACCCCCCACTCCTCCTCTCCAAAACAGTGATAATTCCGGTCAGCCTTCCCGGATTATCCGGCGTCAAGAGTGTGAAGTAGTTTATCGCTGCCGGCATTGCTCTGTCTTTGGACGGTAGCCATTATAATGTGAGAATTTTCATCCTCTGCACTGTGCTCAACATTTAGAATAGACATCCCCAACATGGTGCCCACGGGCAAGGGGGGCTTTTGCCCAGCAAGGCTTCTGATTGGCCATTGGAGAGTTGATTGGCAGGTTTTTAAAAAGGTTGTTGTGGCAGTAGCTGCCGCCACAGGACAAAGATCTTCACCGCGTGCCTGAAGGCACGCTGTGGCAGCAGCCGTTTTATGGCAGCCATTTTCTGGCTGCGCCCGACACGCTATGTCAGAATTCCAAAGGCGCCATCAGGCTCGAAAAGGTTGGGGACCCTGGTATTAGTCTGTCTTTGGATGACAGGCACTATGTGAGAATTCTTGTCCGCTGGGGCATTGGGACGAAAAATCTAGAGCGTTGGGAAACCCTCCAGTTTTTATTTCAACAGAATGGTGAAATTTACTAGACAGGGGGTTGGATCACATGAACACACAGACACATGAAGCTGCCTGATACTGAATCAGACCATCAGTCCAACAAGGTCTGCATTGCCAACTCAGACTGACAGCCGCTCTCCAGGGTCTCAGGCAGAGGTCTTTCCCATCACCTCCTGCCTGGTCTTTTTAACTGGAGATGCCGAGGACTGAACCTGGGACCTTCTGCATGCCAAGCAGAGGCTCTTCCGCTGAGCCACAGCCCCTCTTTACAGCTCTCCAGGGGCTGAGGCGGAGGTCTTTCCCATCACCTCCTGCCTGGTCCTTTTGACTTGGGACCTTTTGCCTGCCAAGCAGAGGCTCTGCCAGTGCGCCCCAGTCCCTCCCTTGGGATCTGTCGTGCTGGCGGAGGTGCTTTTTCTTCCCGAAGGAAGGATTCTTCCCCCGATGCCAAGAGGCAGGTGGCTTTATTTCCATCAAGGGAAGAAAGCACCTCTGTTAGCAGAACAAGTCCACAGGATCTGACCCCGATGGCGTCTGTCGTTTCTGCTCCTAAATGCAAAAATGCTTGACTGGTCGCAGGGGTCATTTCGTAGAAAAAGAGGTGCAGGAGCTCATTAGCATAACTCATTTGCATATGCCACACCCCCTGACATCACCGGAAGTGTGTCAGAAGGCAACACCCACCGCTCAGACTCCACTGGACTGTTTTGGATTGTTAGCTAGTGGCGGGGGGGACAGGGGGACGATGTGCAGATCTGTCCTCGCAGAGGAGGGAGAGCTTGTACCTGAATAAAACTTGGCCTTAAAGGTGCCACTGGACTGTTTTGCATTCCTTGCTATTGGGAGGGGGGGAGATGCACAGATCTGCCCTCACAGATGAGGGAGAGCTTGTACATGAAGGCGGGCTGGGGGGGGAGCTCTGCAACTTGCCTGGCTGCTTCTTGCTCTGACTGAGGGCTGCTGGGAGCAGGGGGCGGGGCTTGTTGCATGTGCCCGCCCCCTGGGCTCCTTACTGCCAGAGCTCTGCTCCTGTGTGCACCTGCACGAAATGACACCTGACTGGTCATGTTTGGTAGGGGTGCTTTGAGGAAGAGGTTTCCCTGCACCGGATCACATCCTAATTTATTTTTTTTTAAATCGATCTTATCTATGAGACTGGGAAGCCATGACCTGGATAACATGGGCCAGCTCAATCTTGTTAGATCTCAGAAGCTAAGCGGGGTGAACCCTGGTTAGTCCTTGGATGGGAGACCTCCAAGGAAGCCCAGGGTTGCTACATGGAGGCAGGCAAGGGCAAACCCACCAGAAAAATGAAAACAGATCAGCCAATATCATAATGCCCCTATATAAATCAATGGTGCGACCTCATTTGGAATACTGTGCGCAATTCTGGTCGGCCGTGGTTAGTACTTGGATGGGGGACCACCAAGGGCAGCAGCAAGGTGCATGGTACAGCCAGGATCTGAACTCAGGTGTCCCCAGGCCTAGGCAGGCCCTCCAGCCGCTCCTGGCTGTCAACGGAAACCTGGCAGCTCACGGCTCCCCACGATCAGCCAGTCCTGAGCCCTCTCAGATGAATACAGATCAAGCCGCAACATAGTTTGCACAAGGCGGTGCAGGAAAGTTGCACCCGACTTCTCAGTGCTCGTGGGTTTCGACTTCTCAATGCTCGTGGGTTTCGACTTCTCAGCGCTCGTGGTTTTTGCTTTCTCTTCTGGGCCCCCTTGACGGTTCCTCCCCCCTTCTCCTTTCAGGTTGGGGTCCCGGCATCCAGCCCCGTCGCCATGAGCTCCCAGCCCCGCCGCATCCGTCTGACGCCCTGGCTGGTGGCGCC